CATTTCCATCCCCAGCCCCAGGCCACCACGAATCTACTTTCCGTCCCTATGGATTTGTCTTTCCTGGACATTGCTTTTCTTCTTTTTTCTAAAATGCTTATTTATTTTTGAGGGAGAGTGCGCCCGCGCCTGTGCAATCAGGGGTTGGGGGTGGAGAAGACAGAGAGAGAGGGGGACAGAGGATCCAAAGGGGGCTCCGAAATGACAGCAGAGAGCCCGATGCGGGGTTCGAACTCACGAACGGCGAGATCATGACCTGAGCTGAAGTCAGACGCTCAACTGACTGAGCCACCCAGGCACCCCTTTTCTGGTCACTTCATTTAATGAAATTAATTCATACACTACATGATCTTTGTGCCTGGCTTCTTCCACGTAATGTAATGCTCAGTCCCACAGGATAGTATGAGCTCGTAAGTTCTCCACTCCGGCTATCTCCAGGTAGTATCCGACCGTGGCCATTCCTGCTTTTGTTTATACACTCACCAGCTGGACAGTTGGATTGTTTCCACTTTTTTCGCGATTATAAATCATATTACTTATGAACGTTCACACACGAGTCTTTGTGCAAACATGTTTTTACTTCTCTTGGGTAGATACCTAAGGGTAGATTTGCTGGGTTGTGCAATAAGTTTATGTTTAACACCTTTTTTAAAAGGTGTGTGTTTATTTTTGCGAGACAGAGAGAGAGAGAGAGAGAGAGAGAGGAAGAGAGAGAGAGTGGGGGAGGAGCAGAGAGAGAGGGAGACAGAGAATCCCGAGCAGGCTCCACACTGTTCAGCACAGAGCCCGACGCGGGGCTCGAACCCACGAACCGTGAGATGATGACCTGAGAGGATGATCAAGAGCCAGATGCTGAACTGACTGAGCCCCATGTTTAACACTTTTTCAAAAAGCCAGACTTTTCAAAGTGGCTGCACCGATTCCCATCTCCCCAAGTGAGGTAGGAGGGCTCCTCCGTCTGCTGTTGTAACTGCTTTCCTTTCAGAAGTGAGTCCCTTCTTCGGAGTCGGACACAAGCCGGCAGGCAGATCTCCCAAACGCAACAAGTTTCCGACAACACCCTCACGATTCACTCCCCATCCTCCCAAACGCGTTTCACAGACTCCTTAACTTGGTCTGAGTCTTGGTACCCGGTTTCCTAGTGTTTGGTTACTCGACAATTTTCCTCTGTTTCCTTTGTCTGTGCCACCATCGTCTATACACGGTGCTCACATGACCTCTTATGGGATTTATTTTTCAAATATCCGTCTTCCTCAACTAGACATTAAGCCCCCTCCGGAGGGGAGATTTTTGTATCCAGAGGCTAACACAAAACATGGCACAGAGCGGGCCTTCAAGAGTATTTGTTGAATGAGCAGTTGAAGAGGCGACGTGCACGTTTGGTTCAAATATATACTAATTTCCGTATCAGCCTGTTTTCCTTCAAAAGGGCTTATACTCCCTTAGGACCTGTTCACTGAACACATGACACAGAATCTTAAGAGTTTATGGAAACCTTGGGGAGAAGCCCAAATCTTTCGGTTCACCCGCAAACTCTAAGGCCTGGAGGGACAGTGACTCACCCAAGGTCGCCTGTATGTGCCAGGCGGGAGTACTGGGGTGAGCCGCTCCCAGAGGAAACCTGCCGTCAAGAGAGGAGAACCAGAGTGCTGGGGAGCCCAGGGGATACTGAGGCAACAGGGGGGAGCTGGTCTGTGGCCGAATCCTGAGTGCCGGGCCTGAACTCCACTCTGTAGGAAAGGAATGAACGTTTTTGAGTAGGATGTGAGATCGTCCCCTCGGTGTTCTAGCAGATTAATATGGCGAGGGGGCAGACGGGAGGTCAGAGAACGGTCTGAGCGTGAAACACAGAGGGAGCGCCCAGACTTGGGGGGTCTGCCCGGGGATGACGGAGTCTGTGAGCCTGGGAAACGGTGGTCTCAGAACTGGGAATAAGGAAGGTGGGGCAGATGCGCAGGTCTGATCACGTATGTGTTCTCCGCAGCCCCGGGGGGCAAACGGCCTCGCGTGTCAGAGGGCTGCTTCTGCACTCACCGTTCCAGTCCAATGTGGGCTCTTCCACGCACAAGCGAGTGACCTTGGGCAAATGACCTCATGACTCTGAGCCTTGGTCTCCCCATCTGTGAAACAGGGGTGATAACAACCTCCTGGGATTGTGGGGAGGATTAACTTAGGTGATACATTTGAGGTACTTAGACCTGAGCCTGCGGTGTAGCCAGAGATGAGTCCACGGTGGCCTCGGGGCTTCCTCCTCCTGTCCTCGCGTGAACTTTCAGGAGGCGACTGGTGGGCAGGAAGCCACACTCACTGGGAGCTGCCTTAAGCCGGACACCCCGTGTTTGAAGTTCTACATAAGGTAAAGGATAAACTGTCTTATCTTTTGGAGTGTGTGGAAATGTTTTAAACTTCACTGGAAGTTACTTTCGAGGAACTAGAATTTATTGTTATTTTTATTTATTTATTTATTTAAAACAAAAATTTTTTAATGTTTTTATTTATTTTTGAGACCGAGGGAGACAGAGCATGAGCAGGGGAGGGACAGAGAGAGAGGGAGACACGAACTCCGAAGCAGGCTCCAGGCTCTGAGCTGTCAGCGCAGACCCCGACATGGGGCTCGAACTCACAGACTGTGAGATCATGACCCGAGCTGAAGTCGGACGCTCAACCGACCGAGCCACCCAGGCGCCCCTCGAGGAACTAGCATTTAAAAAAAGTCTTTTTTGAAATGTTTATTTATTTTTGAGAGAGAGAAAGAGAGAGAGCGTGTGCGAGTGGGGGAGGGGCAGAGAGAGAGGGAGACGAGACACAGAATCTGAGGCAGGCTCCAGGCTCTGAGTTTCCAGCACAGAGCCCGACACGGGGCTCGAACTCATGCACTGCAAGATTATGTATGACCTGAGCCAAAGCCGGGCGCTTAATCGACTGAGCCACCCAGGTGCCCCAAGGAACTAGCATTTTTAAAAAGATGCCATGTGCATACAGTGGTCTAAGTCTGAAATGTCACATACGGGAAAAAATTGATTTAGCTACAATGTCTTGTAGGGTTTTCAAATGTCACCTGCGGGGCCTTGGGTGATCTCACACAGGACTCTGGGGCCGCCCTGGCAGAAGGGGATAGAAACTCCTCTCGACTAGAGCTGCTCCCCTTTTAACGAGCAATACGAGTTCATTGAAGAAAAGGTTTCACTTTTTTTGGAAAACGCTTGTAACAAATATGTTAGGACAACCAAATGGCAAATCTTCAAAGATGAAAATAAATTCTATATAAAACTTCAAATTGTTTAATTGGCTAGACAAATTCATGAAACATAGCTTCTGAAGACTAAAAAAGAAGGAAAAAAACCTCACAAGATACGAAAGGCTGCACCTCTTCCACAGCGGAATGGTGTTATTTGGCATTTTTCGAACGGATACTGGTGTCCACACCAATATTCTGGAATTCTCTTTAGAAAGAGTCGGGGAAAACACAAATCAAATCTTGGGCAAGTATTTCATGCTTGTCGCTATCTGTTTAGGAAACAAAGTATTTCACAAAAGAACCACATTCCATGAAAAGTCTGTTTGTTCTGGCTTAAAACATAATCATTTCCTCAGGAAGTCTGATTCAGACGAAGCAGCTTGAGAAATTCAAATTGACTTGGTTTGTAGACAACCGAATGTCATCCTCCTTTCTGAATTCCATGAACGTGTTTTCAAAATTAACTCTGCCATTTAGACTAGGCATTTAAACTCAACTATGCGTTATTTTATGGCCTTCGCTGTCTAGTAGACGTAAACTCCGGCTAATGCACCTCTTTGCATACATGCATGGATATGCTTGTTTATTTACAGAAGCTTCATGTTTTAAATGTGGTCTTTGAATAGATTTTTAGATCTAAATAAACCAATAGGGAGGAGGAGAGTACAGGATTAAGAATTCAGACTCTGGGACTAGGGCTACCTGAGGTCTTGTCCCAGCTCAGCCACTTAGGAGCTCTGTGGACTTCCACGGGCTCCTTCACCTCTCTGTGCCTCGTTGGACTTATCTGTAAAGTGGGAATAGTAAGTGTACCTCTCTCATCAGGCAGTGAAGACTACAGGAGTGAACATAGATATGTCAACTTGGAACAGCACCTGGAACACAGTAAGTGCCCAAAAAATGTTAGCAATTGTTAACGTTTCTCGGTTTCCTTGTGTATCTGGTTGATAAAAGGTTGCTATGGAAATTATTAATAGATTAGCACTCTTCACACAATTCGAATATATCCCAAGACATTCAATTTAAAGACCTGGCCGGTCCTCCTCAGTCCACAGACTTTCAGGGCCAAAGGGACACCAGAGAACATTTCGCTTCACATCTCCGCTTCATGGTTGAAAACCCCAAGGCCCAGGGGCATGAGAGCCACCAAGCGAGGCAGAGACGGTCAGGATGTGGTTGCTTCTGACGACACTTTAGGCTCTCAGAGGGCTGTGGCGAAGTTTCCATTAAGGGCATCAACTACCATTGCCCTGATAAGCCTGTTACCGGAGCGTTCTGGGCTGGTCAGAATGAAAAATAAAAGCATTTACATATTTGGAACTGTCCGTAGACAAAGTAAATTTGCTTTATAACCTCAGGCTGTTATTTATGATGCTGATAGAAAATGCTTGCACCTGGGATGTTTCTACACGTTTCCACGTCAATATCCTTTGAAAGACGTTGTTCAGTTAAAACTATAATAAAAAAACAGTTGGAAATATTAGGAATAGAAAGGCCTGGCCCCACCATGCCTGCACCATTGGAAGTTTACACACCGGGGGGTGCACGGACAGGGCACGCCGCAGGTAACCAAAGGTTTATTTCAAATTATAGGACACTCAAAAATAAACAATATAATATGCTTGAAGTTTTGTTGTGACATAGAAAAATGCTTCCGATTACACTTAAAACCTTCGAGTTTTACCCCAACAAAGTATACTTTGCAGCCAGTCGAAGGGCTCGGACAAGCACCGCTCTCTCCAGATGGCTGGGGTAGGAGGTAGGCTGCAGACATCCCTGTAGGGAGGTGTGTTTGTCCTACTCGGAGTGACGAGTTTTCTTCTTGTTGTGGCTCTCGATGGCCCTTCTAAGTGCTTCATCCTGGATGAGGTCTGACATTCTCACATCTGTGTGGCTACAGCCAATTTTGGGGCAACTGGAAAGGATAAGAAGATCACTTAACTTGAGGCCTTCAGCATGAGCTTCTCTCACATATGAGTATTTCGGTGAAGACATTTTACCCCAAAGGAGCATGTCTGAGAAATTAGGACTGACGCAAACTCACTCATTTATTCCCCGAGTGCCTACTGGAGCCAAGCCAGGTGCTGGGGGCATAGGCCATGGCCAAGCAGGGCCCACCTTCCAGTGGGGACACAGATAACCGATAAGTCACCAAAGAGTGCTGGCTATACGTTTATTCACGTTAAGTGCTCTGAAGGAAAGGAAGCAAGGTCAAGGGGAGAGTGCGGGGTGAGGCTTCTCTAGCTGGGTCAGGGCAAGCCTCACTGAGCAGGTCTTATCGAGAACAAGTGCTGTGTGTGGCCCAGGCAGAGGCAGGAGCCTAGGAGGCAGCAGCTTGGTGGCCTGGAGTGAAAAAGCAAGGTCAATATGGCTGAAACACCCAGGGCTAGAGGGAGGGCATTTGGAGAGGAGGTCGGAGGGTCAGGGGGCCTTTGGATTTTATTTTTTATGTATTTTTAAAAAACGTTTACTTTTGAGACACGGGGGCGGGGAAGAGAGAGAGAGAGAGAGAGAGAGAGAGAGAGAGACAGAGAGCACACGAGTACAAGTGGGGGAGGGGCAGAGAGAAGGAGACACAGACCTGGAAGCAGGTTCCAGGCTCCGAGCTGTCAGCACAGAGCCTGACGCGGGGCTCGAACCCACAAACTGTGAGATCGTGACCTGGGCCGAAGTCAGACCAGGCGCCCCTAGATTTTATGTTAAATATGAAGAGAATTTGAGAGTTTGAGATCGGGGAGGGATGCCACTTGGTTTAAGTTTAGAAAGCATGGCTCTGGCTGCTTAATGCAGAAGACAAGCAGAGTGGAAGCAGGAAAACAGGAGGGCCCTGGGCAGTCCGGGCGAGAGGGCGGTGTGGCCGAGGCTGGTGGCAGTGGCCAGCTTCAGGGCAGAAGTGGACACAGAACCTGTAGGACTCGCTGTTGGGTCAGAGGCAGAGCGTAAGGGAAAAGAAGGGCTGAGCTTCGTCAGAGTCTGCCCCCCTCCCCTGCCCCATGGGTAACTGGTGGTGCCCTTTATCTCTAAAGAGAACAACTGGAAAACCAGGCTGGGGATGGGGATGGATCTAGGAGACCCCGGTTGGCATATATTCCCTCCGAAATGCCCTAGTCCCTCCCGGAGGGAGACTGCGTGGGTTGGTGGAGACTCAGGGGAAAAGCTGTGGCTGAAGAAATCAGCGCGTGAGTCACCCACGGAGGGGGAGGTGCTTGACGCCATGGCTGTGTTTAGATGTGGTCTCCTCTGGGGGCAGTGGGCTGCATGAAGTCACCTGGTTTCTTCTGTCTGGACTTAGGGTGACCCGGTTTTGAATTTGGCCAACATCTACTAGCATTCTGAGCCTCTATTCCCTCAGATCTGAAGTGGGGGGCAGGATTCCTATTTCCCAGGGCTAAAGGCAACTCGGTGCCTAGCATCCCTGATCATCATAACTTCTGATACATTTTTCTTTTTTTAAAATTGATTTTAAATTTATTTTTTATTTTAGAGAGCGAGTGGGGTAGAGGGGCAGAGGCGGGGAGAGAGAGAATCCCACCCACCATCCTGGGATCATGACCTGAGCCGAAATCAACAGCTGGACACGCAACCAACTGAGCCACCCAGGCACCTCTCTTCCATACATTTTAAACTTGCTGATCTCTCGGTCTCTTGCATACACCTACTGTATGCATGCCGCACATTCGTGCATGCATTTGACCTTCTGTGTGGTCCGTCCTGTGCTAGGTTCTAAGCACCCAACTGTGAAATACAAATGTAGGTTCCTGCCCACACAGAGCTCCAGCCCAGTGGCCTGAGACAACTCTCCGAAAAGCACAGGTATATTAAGACACGAAATAACAGTTACAAGACAAGAGCAAAAATAACAAATACAAGACGAAAGACATAAACCAGAAGGGGAAGAAAGTTGATTGCGGGAACTCATCTGTCCAGTGGTAGGAAGCCCAGCTTTTCAACGTGAAGGAGAAACATCTTCTGGGCTTGTGCCTTATGGACCAAGGTGTCTTTATATAAGAAGGGACAAAGAAGTGTAATGGACAATATGCTTGCTAACAATATTTATTTTTAAAAATACTGAAATGAGCCCCGCAGGGGCAGGTACGTGCGCTAAAACGTGACTATAAAAAGGCCCTCACAGGACAGAGGACCGGGGTGATCTGCCCAGGGATGCCTCCTTCTGGAGACTTGGGTCTGTGTTAGAGTAAGGACTGGGGGCACTTGAGAAAGGTCTCACACTGGTTTCCCAAAGTGAACTGCTTCGTCAACTGTGACAGCCAACAGCTGAGATTACGAGGATATAGACACTTTCACGACACACTCAGACGACATGTGCCGGGGACACCCTCGCTTCATACTGACCAGCCTGGTGGACACATACTGTCACGGTGGGCCTGGGTTTCTTCCCACTTCCTAGAACCGAATCTCTAGCACCTACAGCCAGATGATGAATAAGCGTGGAGGGGGAAGGGGAGGCTGAGGTGGGGAGGACTTCTGGTGACATCAGGGGCCCTGTGGGGGAGTGCGAGGACTCTGAGAACGTCTGATGGGGTCAACTGCACGCTCACTGCTGAGCCCGCAGGCACATTCTTCTCAAAGGACAAAGGATGGAGCCCAGGGTGACCTAGGTCAAACAGAATTCTGACCTCACTGAGGGGATCGACTCTGGGCACAGAGGCATTAACCAAAAAGCCCTCCCAAGGGGGAACTGATGGCCTCTTGATACAAATACAGGCTCAAGAGTGAAAGAGACGTGGGCTCGAGTCTCCTGGCTGTGACCCTCTGGGCAAGTGGCTTTACTTCCTGTGCCCCAGTTTCTTCTTCCATGAAGATGAGATAGAACGTAGGGTCCCCGTGAGAGGTAAGTAGGATAATGTATGATGAGGGTTATGGAACTGGCTCAGATGCCACACGGTTTCTGCCCTCGTCCATGGCTTCAGCTCCCAAGAAGCCCGTGGAGAGGAGGTAGCCCACTGACGATGCTGGCGGGCCACGGGCGGGCCACGGTGCACGGGGCGCTGTGGCAGGATGAACGAGGGCACTCCACCCAGCATGAATGAGGGCTCAGGGATGATGCAGGAGCTGGGGGAGAACCTTGTTTCTCACCCCATCTCGAATAAACAAACACAAGTTTTTTAGCTACAAAGGGTAAGATGAGGCCATAATGACATGATACTGAATCAGGGCACTCCTTCTCTGGAGAAATAACACTCTACAGAAGCATTAGTTTATTAATCCCCAGGACATCCTGGTGAGCAAGCCAAGTGTGGCAATACCCAATCCCAAGTTCTCGCGTCATTGCTGTGCAGAAGTCAGACCTACCGGCCTCACAGGAGAGGCTGGGTCCTGAACTCAGGTTACTGAGGGCAGAAGACGCCACAGAGCAGTGGGCAAACGTGCAAGTGTCTACTGAACAAACAGAGCACGGGTCTCAGGGGTCCCAGAAGGCGGCAGGGAACCCTGGCCTCAGTCTCAGCTCAAAGGTACAAGATTCTGAGTCTTGTGAGCTCTTGGATCTGGGTCCTGAGAATTCCAGGGTCCAATTCAGCTCTACAAGAGGTCTATGGATATCTCTGGAAGTCTGAGTGGGATGGATTCCCATCATACCTAAACACGCCGAGTAGCTCTGTCCTACATCCTCTGAGTCTCAAATAATGTGTCACCGAGCAGTGAGGTAAGTAATAACACGGACGTTCTCGACCTTTATAACCTGACTGCTGTTTGTTTAGCGTTCTGCAGTTCAAAAGGAGCCTTCTCTTAAGTGGTTTGCTTCTCCACTGCCAAGAAACGTCCTGGTCCAGATCTAGACTGGAATTTCTCCGCTGCTTCTTTAATCCTAAAATTCCATGAGACGTTACTGTCATTTCTACTCTGCAGGTGAAGAAATTGAGGCCCTGGGAGGCGAAATGCCCCGTGGGCCAATGGAGAGAGAGAGAGAGAGGCCCTTCAACGACACAGTCCCAGTCAATTTGGTTTTATTCTACATGCTGTTCAGTGTGACTGTTTGTTAAACACAGTTCCTGCTCTTTCACAAAAAAGGAAAAGAAATGACTGTGGAACACTGGAAATATGTTATTAATATGAGACTCACAAGGCGGCTTTGTCAGTAAGAACACACCCAGCCCACTTATTCAGGAAACGGTTTTAACTGCTGTATTTCGTGAGGGCTACAGTCGCACAATTTTATTCCTCCTCGAGCCGGTGGAGAGGGGTCTTTGCAGAGGCTGAAGCATGGACAGGAAGCTTCAGTCGGCGCCCAGTAAGGAAATGGACTGGAACTGCAGTCTAACAAGACGTAAACTAGAACCATCTAGGAGGGAGAACTGAGATGTCTCAAACTGGATGTGTCACAGGCATTTTTAAACAAAGGGGACCCAGAACTGCTCGTCACGCTCACATGCATCATGGGAAATGACACTACTTCATGCTCACTCAGGAAGCTCTGGAGTAGGTGATGAAGAGGCCCGGGAGTGGTGATCTGCTGCTCCCGCGATAAGCAGCCCCCCCATCTTCTTCCTCTCTATCCTGGCTACGTCTCAGACGGCTTCACTGGGGTCTTCTTCCTCGGACTCTCTTTTCATTAATGAGGGAAGTGCCTTTCTGAAGGTCCATGTGGGGGCCCCGAGGCGGGTGCTGAGGGGGGTGAGGCGGGCAGAGCAGGGCTGGCCTGGCGCTGCCCGGAGCCAGGTCACAGTCCTGTCCTTGCTCTCAGTCAGCTGTCACGTGCCCTGAGCTGCCCCTCTGGGGTTGGGCTCCTCTGTACCAATAACCTCACAACGACATCTCGAGCTCAGAGCTCTCTCCTTGGTCCAAAACGCCACGTGTTCTGCACCCCCTGGACACTTCCAAATGGCTGTGTTACTGGGACTTCAAGGTCAGCATGACCCCCAACTGTGCCTCTCACAATCCTTCCTAAATGTGTTCCACGCTCCCGCCCTCTCAGTTGGCTAATGACCCCCAGCCCCCTCCACCGCTTCTGGACACCGGGTTTATTCATTTATTTTTTTAAATTTTTTATTTTTTAATGTTTATTTATTTCTGAGACAGAGAGAGACAGAGCATGAGTGAGGGAGGGGCAGAGAGAGAGGGAGACACAGAATCTGAAGCGGGCTCCAGGCTCTGAGCTGTCAGCACAGTGCCCGACGTGGGGCTCGAACTCACAAACCAGGAGATCACGACCTGAGCCGAAGTCGGTCTCTCAACCGACTGAGCCACCCAGGCGCCCCTGGACACCGGGTTTAGAATCGACAGTCACCCTCCGCTCCTTCCTCCCTTCGACTCTCAGTTGCCAAATCCTGCCAGCTGTGCCTCCATGATGGCCCCATTCTCGTTCCCTGATACCTGTGACTCTTTCCTCAGTCAGGCTCCCATCACCGTAACTTAATCCCCTGCAAAGGCATCCTCACTGACATTGTTACCCCACGCCTTTTTAACCCATCCCTTGAACTGTACTGGAGTGACTTCCTAAACTCCAGCTTGACTCACCTCATTCCCTCAAAACCCTGCAATGTTGTCTCGTGCCTCTAGAATAATAGCAACAAGGATAGTGGTGGCGGTGATGGTGCCTTCCGAGTCTTGCCGTGGACCAGGGGCTTTCAAGTACTTCACGCAGATCTTCCTCAAATTTCAAACATACCAGTGAGGCCATTACAACTATTACCACCAATTTATAGACGAGGAAACTAATGAAATCCCAACCTTTGACGCCTCTAAGGGAATCTTTATACCACTCTCCTCAGGGTTATTGTCCACGGCATCCTTCTATTTTCCCTCTAACATACAGTAACTACAACCGCTCCTTCTGATCACCAAGGAGAACAGGCTCTGAACGGGGCAGGCCTCTTGGCTAGAAGGACTCTTCACCACTGTCCGACGTCCTTCTCATTTGAGGCGCTTGGGTGGCTCAGTCGGTTGAGCATCTGACTTTGGCTCAGCTCACGATCTCACACTTCGAGCCCTGGGCTGGGCCTGCTTTGGATCCTCTGTCCCCACCCTCTCTCTGCCCCTCCCCTGCTCACACTCTCTCTCTCAAAAATAAATTAAAACACAAAATTGAAATCCTTCTCATTTTTTCAAGGCCCAGTCAAAACAGTACCTTCTCTGTAACTCTCCCGCATTCCTTCCACTTGGATTTAACTGCTATTGTTATAGAGAGGTATGACAGAAAAAAGAAACTTTTCTAAATGACAAGTGTTACTCAAGTGCTCAAATAGCATGTATACCTCGAAAGAAAAAAAAAAAAGCTAAAGGATATTAGAGAGTCAAATAGGTAATTAAGAAGATCCATTTAAATGTGAGCCGGGTCTTGTAGTCACTATCCCCGTCCAGAGGCTCATGAGAAACGCACGTTGCTATCAGTGCCCGCCCTTCCCGCATCTGACCTGGGAAGAAGATCACAAACTTTAAGACAGACGAGCTGTGAAATGGGACTATCTGGGAATATCTGTTCTTGGCAATTATCATTTTAACAAACTAACAGTTTGTTTTTCCGAGAACGAACACAGAAAAAAAGTCAGCAGAAAGGGAAGGCTCAGACCTTCAGAAGCAAAAGGAAATTATATTCACAGGGAATCTGGAAGGTTGACTGGGGAAATACAACGTCTCGACTGGGACTCAAAAATGTACTCGAATGCTCTCAATTTTGCAACCGGTAGGCCATTCTTCTAGAGTAAATAGGGTAAATGACTTGACTTAGTGACCATCAAGATTATGTACAGTCTCAAATACCCTATCTCTGAGTCCACACCCACAGGAGGAGTGGTGGGGAATTCCAATTCTGGGTCTGGACCGGCAAATTTCTGGGTGATGGAGAAGGGAGCTACACTTCAAAGTGACTGTTATCAAAAGTCCACTGAGACCTGGTCACACCTGCAATTCCATTCCTAGGACAAACCTGTGATAAGAGCACAAGAAATGCCAAACTGAATTATAGCTAGTTGGGCCAACTCAGGATTCCATACTGTCACAGGAACACAGCCATGGTCCTCCCAGGTTGAGCGCCAGAGGGGTAGGAATGGGCAGGTGGGGGGTAGAAATATATATATAAAACAGGTGTAAGAGGAAGATTCTCCAAACATCCCAATTAAGAAAAAAATTCTCACGGAAGTGACCCCAAAATTCACTTGAACCTTTTGGGAAGCTATGTAAGTAATTAAAGATGCGAAAGGTTTTCCCTGAGAGTTAAATCTTGCTCAGACCTCTGGATACAAATCTTATCTCAGAACATTTTAAACAAATTACCTGTAGTGCAGGATGCAAAACAAACAAACAAACAAAAAAACCCCCCAAAACTGCCATTCTTTCTTGGGTGAGTATACACGGAATGGGAAAAAGAAATCTTTCAGTATCAGAGTTCTCCTTTGTTTTTTTTTTTTCAGGCTATAGCACAATTTCATAAAAATTCCTATTATTTAATGATGAACATGCCACCCGAGTCCTTTCTCTCCTGTTTCGAAGGTGTGGCTGAAATTTCTTTAGCTTCTTCCTGAACAGACTACTAATTTTTCCGTCATGTATTGTTTTTCCAGAAAGCCAGCTTCCATGTTTATACTCTGAGGGAGTGTGATCACTTGAAGGGGGGGGAAGATGGCATCTTTTTTCCTCTAGCGTGAGCATACCACCTCTGACTGACCACCACTGGGAAGGCTCACTTCCCTTCCTGCATCGACTCACCAAGCCTTTTTCTTCCGCCTGTGCTTGGACTCAATCATGCGAACAATGGCTTCCTCTTCATAGGTGTGGCCACACACTTTATTTTTCACCGGTTTCTTCATTTCCACCTGCAATCAAGGAGACATTCAGCTTTTAGGAATGATAATGAGCCACTTCCAGTAACTTCTCCAAGTCACCGAATTATTTGGCACTGTTTTTTCCTCATCTCGGGGCTTCCTATGTTTAAGCTCTCCATCTCATGGCTTTAGATAATTGTTAGGGCAGATGGCCACAGAGGAAAAGGCAGGGAGACCGTGCATGGCTCTGATGTCAGTTGGCCTATGGGTCAAGAATTTCTTCCTTGATCCCTCAGGGCATGGTTGCCTGAAAAGTCTTGGACCTATCCTCTTGGACCTCATCACTCTCCTTTCGTCCCTCCTTACCTTGGATGTAAGATCAAGTTAAAAAGCAAACAGGAGTCTTTTGCCTCTTTGTCTTTCTGGGAAGGAGGAGGAGACGGTACCTGTGTAATGGGGCAGATGAAGTTGGTCTGGCTCTGGGTCACAATCATATCTTCATCAACTCCTTCTGTCCCATCAACCTCTCTGTCGGCTTGAAGACCATCTAGAGGGAAAAAGGGAAGTCGCTGAGCCTCGTTGGTCTAACAGTGTGCCAAGGACAGGAAGGAACGGAAGGAAGGAGGTTAACTGTTTCCCAGTGTCTGCTGGGAACCCTGCTGGGCACTTGGATGCACGTTAACTCTTTTGCTCTTGAAAGAATCCTGCAGGGTAGGTAGGATTCTGCCCATGTTTGATCAGGAAACAGATTGAGAGCAGTGAAATAGCTTTTTCAAAATGACCGAGAATTAATTTCTGAGGGAGTACTGTCCAGTAATCAAGAGTGTGGCTCTGGAGTCAGAAGGACCTGGTTATCTCTTGCACTTCCAGCTGAGGGACCTTGGGCTGGCAAGATCTTTTTTGAAAGCCTTTACTTTATGGCTCTGGTGAAAAGATTAAAAGAGGCGAAGAATGTGGTATGCTTTGCACAGCCCCTGCCACAGGAGACACTCAATAATAAATGGTTACTACTGCTAGGTAGCTCAGGGGTTCTCAAACCTTTTGGTCTTAGAACACTTTCATACTTTTAGAAATTATCGAGGACCCCCCAACATTTCTTTGGGGTTATAGTTATCAATATTTGCCATAGTAGATATTAAGACTGAGGGTTTAAAAAATATGCATTTATTAATTCATTAAAACAAAAAGCAACTCCAGGGGCGGCTGGCTGGCTCAGTTGGGGGGGGGGAGCATGTGACTCTTGATTTTGGGGTCATAAGTTTGAGCTTCACGTTGGGTGTAGAGATTACTTAAGCAAACACAACTTAAGTAATTACATTTTCCGGAACAACACCAAAAAAGGGTTAGAGATAAAAGGTGGCATGGTTTTTACATTTTTGAAAATATCTTTACTGTTTGGCTTAAGACAAGATAGTTAGCCTTTGATATGTGTGTATGCATCTAGTCTGTCGTGATATCACGTTGTGCAGCCTCTGGAAAAATACACTTACGGAAAGATAGTGAAAAAGACAAGTGACACCTTAGTATTATTATGAAGACAGTTTTGACCTCATGGGTACCCAGAAAGCTCTCAGAGAACCCTAGGGGTCCCTGGCCCACACTTTGAGAACTGCTGAACACATGCCTGGTAGGGCTGCCTTCGGATAGCTTATTTGATTCTGAAATCTATGTTCTGTTCATTTCGTCACGCTTGCCCCTCACTGAGATGTTGGATGGCTTCTGAACAGGATAATGAGACTCAGTCTCTCATGTGAAAGCTTTTCTTTCTGGAGAAGGGAGACGTCATTTTGCACAAACATCAAAGATCAATAGCTCTTTAAACACAAGTGTTGATGGTGCCTTCCTTCCTCCTCCCCTGCCCCCCATACCCCTGCTCCCTTTCCTATCCTTACGCTCTTCTTCCTTCCCTTCCTTCTTCATTCTGGCAAAATAACATCGGCATTGAAAATTGCTTTGTTTTCACGGTGTGAGGGAAACCCTTGTCTCAGGTTAGGATGGTCCTGCACATCGTTCAGTTCCTAGAACTGATGGCCCTAGCCTCCTACCTCTGCCAGATGGAGTGTCTGTCCAGAAAAGTACTACTGGGGGCAGGAAACGGGCCACAGAGTGCTTGTTCAAGGTCACCCAGTGAACTAATGGCTGCCACCCAGGGATTCTGCCTCCAGTTACTGTTTTTTTTTTTTTTTTTTTTTTTTTTTTTGTTTTGTAGGGGTTTCACCTTGTTTTAGGAGACTACTGTTATTTGTACGCCAGCTTGTACTTTCCTAGAGAAATGTCCCTGAAAGCAGCTCTCATTCCTTGAGGAAGGCAAGAGTGGAGATCTCAGAGCTTAGGACTTCCTGGGCAGAGCATTTTCAACCGTACGGAGCCCGGGGCCTTCTAACTTTTCAAGGGCTGTAAAAATGTCTGACACCCTGAAAACTATTTGTTGGCTTCATAACAGGCTAACTACAAAGCTGAATTAATAAATGATAAAGGTCTACAAAATGTAATGTTAGGTTAACTTCGTTAATTGCTGACTTGGCAGTCAAAAATATTTCATTTGGAAGCAATACGCAGGCTGGATTTAGGTTTTAACTTCATAATTCCCAAGTATGCTAAAATAATTTCTGATAAATAGGCAATAATAAGCCATTTGTGACCAACCTATTTCCAAAGCAAAACCATGAAAATCTTTTTTAAAAATTTTGTCAGCAATAAAATTATATTTAATGTGGAGGCTGCCCTGCTTTTGTATGTTTGCTGTGATGTGGGATGGGGCCAATGAAGGGTTTTTGGGTCTCCCAGGACCTGCTGGTATTCACGGAGCAGGAGTTAGACTCCTAGAGGAGTCCTTTCTCAACCCAGTGATTGCTCACAATGGCTCAGGAAAGTTGGAGAAGTAAGAAGAAAAGTCTAGAAGTAGAGCTAAGAACATTCTGTCTCTTTAATTCACTCTCCAAAGCCTCCTCCTGTGGGCAGCTACGGCCAATTTCTGATTATGTGCTGGGTAGTCAAAATTAAGGTCCCTCTTTGTCCATTTCTTACAGGGCTCATTCCGAACTGACAACAGATTTCTGACCGTATATGTTATACTGTGGAATTCATCAGAAAATCTGTGAGATGAGTAACAGAATTCAGCCAATGTGAAAGACTGTGGGTTTGTTTTCTATTTTCTATTTTTAAATTTCAAAAGGTAGAGGAAGCAAGAAAGCACAACTCAAATGCAATGCCGACCACTAAGGAAGGCTGAGTGGGGAACTCAGAAACTGTAGGTGGCTATCAACATCCGTGATCACGAAAGAAGGTAACAAAAGTAAGACTGAGGAAGAATGCCATGCGGTGAGTAATAGCCCACGGCCCGAGAGTCTAAAAAGAGAAAGATTCTCAAGAGCTAAACTTCTCTTGAGATAGAACGTTTCCTCACCCGAAATCTTTATTTATAGAAAGTGATATTAATGTCGGGATCTACAATGTGCTAACAAAAGGTCACATCTGGCAATAAATATCAGTCACACTGATTTCGCTGATCCAAAGATAAAACTTAAAAAAAACATTTTTTTTTTTTTAATGCAGAGCCTGACATAGGGCTCAAACTCACAAACTGTGAGATCATGACCTGAGCCGAAATCAAGAGTCAGATGCTTAATCAACTGAGCTACCCAGGCACCCTGAACACTTTTGACAGAGTACCCAGCAGGGATGTGTCCAGGTATGAGGTAGTAACTTGAATGTGACTTCTTCGGATGTCATAAAATGAACATGAAAAGGAAAGAGAAGCCGTGGAAATGCTTGAAGTAGTAATTAAGTCAACAATCGAGGAATTCCAAAAGTCTATGAATATTCCCTAGTGATGTAAAGTTAGGGGGTAGGGAGGGCACACTGTTGAACCCCTAGATGTGGGTTCATGGTTAGTTCTGACGGGGAGTGAGGAGCTAAGCAGCCGTGTCTTCGGCCTGCCCCAGTCAGCCATCATCCTTCTAGATGCTACTGGAATTATTCTTACTGACTCATTTTCCTTCGTTCCTCACATCTGAACCATTGGCAAGTTCTGTTGACTGGTTCTAAACTCCACTCCCTAAATCTAAATCTAGCCCCTTCTCTCGATTTCTACTACATCCCAGTCCAAACCACCATGGCCTCCCGCCCAGACCTCTGCCGTAGCCTCCTGCCTAGAATCTCCGCCTTGACCAGGGTCGCAATGCTCCCGTGCACGCTTCTTATGAGTGGCGCTCACAGCCAACCTCCCTGACCCGTCTCCCTCTCACCCACCACGCTTGACTCACACTGGTCTTTTCTCTGTTTCTGGAACATGCCACACTCCTTCCCATCTTTGGGTCTATACACTAACCTGACTGGAATGTTCCTTCTCCTGATCTTTGCTTTTCCTACTCCTTCTTGTCATTTTAAAATGTCAATTTAAATGTTATCTCTCTGGAGAGGCCTTCTCTAATGTCCCAAGCTAAAAGAGGCCACCCAAGCGTGCTCTGTCACATGACACGGTTGTGACTATGCACTGCACGTATCCGCAAAGTACTGCTTTCTGGTATGTCCCTCCCCCCTCCCCCATTCTCTTCCAGGAAAGCGGGGACTTTGTTGTCTTGTTCACTGATGTTTCCTAGAGTCTAAGTGTCCTTGGCATGGAGGAGTAGGTGTTCAATAAACGTCTGATTAGTAAAGTGCTTCATCTGACAAGGCAAGAGTGGGCATATTTTTCACAAGGATGTACTTCATGTATTTAACAGACACGGTAACACACACACACACACACACACACACACACACACACACACACACACCCTCACACAATAATGGTTTTACAGCTTTTAAGCAAGTAACAGAGAGGACTTCACTCTGGCTCGGGGTGCGGCCTGGGACCCTGAATTACATGTCAAATGCAGGAAGTAAATATAAGTTTTACAATTATAGTAGGCCGTGTGGTAATTATAAAGGAGAGTCCAGACATGGTCTTGTGGTAAGAAAATACATTTGGTCCTGGCCACACACAGCCCTGGTATTAGTCATTTGTCTGTCTTCAGGCATCCCAAATTTGGCTACCAGTAAGACAGTTTTATGCCAGCTGGGAAAAAAAAAAGTTGATTACTGTGTGCTTTTTCAATTAAGCCTGAACATTTTTCTAAAAGTACTTTTCTCTTGCAAGTTAGCAGCATCTGAAGAAAATACTTCGCAAATATTTACTGTCTGCTCGAAATGCTTATTGCACTGTCCAGATTTCTTTTGCTTGCTATTCCAGACAGCGTATTTGGACGGGCTGAGCTGGTACAGGGGAGATGTGGGGGCCTCCCTAATGTGTAAAAGAACGCGGAGTTGCAGTCTGAAACGCTACGGCTATCTAGTTACAGAGTTTCCAACTGCATAGTTTCTGCAGTATGTGTTTATGCCAATGCCTCCCTTGTTTCTCCTACCAAGTAACCTACGGCTGGGTCTACCAGTGGCCCCACCTGTGAACATATCTTAAGACTCTTAAGTAGGAAAGGAACTCAGCGGGCTCAGTCCCTTTGGCTTGGAATTAAGGGCACGTGTATCGTTTTGAGGTCCACTCCACTG